AGAGATAGGTGCCTCAATTATTATACGGCCGGTGGTGGTGATTTTTTTATTCCGTTGATTGGCCACGCGTCACCTCTCTTGAGTTTCAGGAACACTTATGATTTTAAATGTCTAGTCCCCGGGAAGACACCCGTAAGCTGAGGTCGCCCTTTTGCGTTCTTTCCTACTTCGCATTGTTGTTGGCTTCGCTTTTCCCACGCCATTTTTGGGCGGCGTACAAGCCAGTTTCACACGTGATTGGCTTCGGATAAGTGTAGTTCCTACCATGTGTTACGAGGATGAAAACGGCAGCAGCAGGAGGTACGCGCGCGTGAGGATAGCCGTAGGAAAGGCTTCCTACTCATCGCCTCGAGGGTGCCAATGCGGTAGAAAGGCCTGACAGCAGTGCATGCGGCAATGCGCAACGGCGACAAACAGAACCACCAGGATTGATTCACACCGCTTCGTCGTCAGCGATCGATGCCCCCTTGCTGCTGGTCTCGATGGTATATACCTAACCGTGGCTTACCCTACCCCCAACTTCAAGAGACAGAACATACAACAACAAGAACGACGACGATATCATACCGTACCCTGTCAGTGCTGGCGTCACCTACAGGGGATGGATGTTTCCACACGATGTCACGCAAGTCGTCAAATGTGCGGCTGAAGGGCATCAAAGGCGAACTAGCAAACCTACCGGACCCCTCCTGTCCCACCAGCAACCAACAGCAATGATAGGCAGCAAAGCACACAAGAGCACACGGAGGGGATAGGGCTTACTTCGGGGAAGAGACGAACAAGGAACCCAACCGAACCCACCCCGTCCCACCAACATCGAAAGCTCGTAATAAAAGTCACAACACGGTGGGCGTAGGGCTTACATCGGTCGGCGCTCCTGTCGTACTCATCCATCACGCAGCAGGGGCACTCGGGGTAGTCCGGCATGTCAACGTCATCGTCGTTGCCCTCCTCGCCCATGGTTAGGTTGAAGTAGCAGGTGCGGCACAAACCCGAGTCGCCTGGTCAGCCAGCCGGGTGTTTAAGGGTGGCAAGCAAACAACAACCAATGGGTGATCGATCGATCACTCAAGTAGCTTCTGGATCCACGAATCTTTTTCCTTGTTCTTGGTTTCATAGCTCGTGCCCCCCCCCCTCCCTCCCCGCCCCCCCGGCTGGAAGCAAGTCGGCAAAAAAAAACATTTGTAAACGTGTGCGTGCGTCATCCAGCGGTTTACCTACTCCACAGCCGGCGCCGGAACAGCCCGGGTCATAGTACGCCCCCAAGCCCCGGTTGATGTCGGAAAACAGAGTCTCAGTGGTGCACGGGCCGTCGAGAGGCCAGGTGCAGGCGACCTGTTCGAGCTCTGCGATGGTTGGACGCCGTACGGGCCGACCGAAATGGGATGGAAAGGAACGGGACGGAATGAGCGGGGGCACTCTTATGTTTTGCATGCCTTAGCGGTTAGACCACTATCCTCGAGAGGACGGAGCATTGTTCCTACAGGACCGACCGATCGCCGATGGTCAATCGTTCCTTCCTGCTTTGCCAAACGCGGGTCAAAAAGTGTTTTCCCGAGCCTAGGGGAGGGGGGGGGGGGGGGGGG